CCCTACACAGTTTCATTTTCTAATAAAATTGAGTAGTTTGATCTGCTTAACTGTTTCTGCAATTAGTATGCAATATTACTTGCACTTGCCCACTGATGACTTTTATAGTCGTAAAAGAAAACTGAAATCGCATGCTTAAACGAATACTAAATAATAATAAAATAGTTGAACAAGATGATGAAAATTTTCACACTAAATAGCTAAAGTCCCACCAACAGCCATGCGATAGTTTTTAACCCCTCCATCGTATAAAATGATGCTCAGAAAGACGATGCTCGAAAACTGCTATCTTCAAATCCTAGTTTTGATCAGATGATGTTCCCAGAATCTCCATTACATTTTCATTTCATGATTTGTAGGTTCAAAAATCGGCATGCTTCTAGCAACATCAAGTAGCAGTAGCAGAAAGAAGCATGCATTGGCCTCACACGAATTAGACAGACAATGCACCACACTCAACCCGTAATAAATAGAATGAATTTCTCATCATCTTCGCATTCCTCTTCCACGACCACGGAATGCACCTCCACGTCCTCTGCCCATGGCACTTGCAGCAGCCTCTCCTTGTGCACTCTCAGACTACATATTTTAAATAGACAAAACAATCAAAATCTGCTGCATAATGGAAATGGCCAGAATAAAACAACCTATAGAGAAAAGGTGAACTTAATCCAGTTACATCATGGAAATAAAAAAAATAAAAAAAAAGAGACTTGTGTAGACATAACCACACAATTCTGCAAATCAACGTAAAATTCAGAAAGTCAGGCAGCGAGATCCAGGCAGAACAATGGCAACAAGATCAACAAAAATTGTCCACAAGCTCCCCCTCTCTCTACCTTAAATGGATGACAACTTCTAACTTAACCAGTTATCTTAAGTTCAAGTATTGGAAATGTTTAAAAGTCAGTAGCACTCAGACTCCAAATAGGGTAGAACAAACTAAAAAAATGATTGGGAGGAAACAAGGCGAGGGCACAAATAACTAGAAGCACTAAAAATTAAGGGTACCTTGGGTGAGGGAACTGTCATTTTGTAAAAGAATGTCTTGTCAAAGAAAAAGTGTTAAGTTAGGAAAAGAAGCAAAAAAAACTCCATTGCAAATGCCTACCAATCACAGCATTCCCACATCTCCAATAGAGAGAGTATTGATTCCCATCTTTAAAGAATTCAAGTGAGGAATGAAATCCTTTCTGTTAATTTCCTTAGCAAACCATGGAATCCACATTCACATGGAGTAGAAGGAGGAACTAATTTCCATTCCCATACAACAAATATGCTATTGGACAGGAACTATGATACCATTATCAAAACTACAAGTACAACAATTTTGCAAGGACAAAGCACCATGAAAACTAGTATTCATTCCTCGATGGATATTGATATATTGAACAATGCTTAAAAGAGACAGAAGTGTAGGACAACTGGATTGGAAGAGAATTTGTGCAGAGATTTCTTAGAGAGAGACTGCACAAATCCAACCGTAATATTATAAAGCATTACCCTCAAAGTAAAAATTCGCTGACCAAAATGCATCCAAACAACAAAAATAATCAAAGAAAAATTAGAATATACATAATATACTACTGATAATAGATCAATAATTCCTTCAACTTGAGCAAGTCTCTAGGAAAGAAATTAAGAACAGAAGCACAATCCTCAGCTATAGACAATGACAGAACTAGACTTACCTTAGGATTTTTAATTGTTTCATCCACACTTAAGATGAGGCAAGCAGCCTCAGTTGCAGCATTTATGGCATTGATCTGCAAATTCATCAACCAACTTAGACGCCATAAAACATTAGAATCAGAATATAAATTTGTACATATAGATGCAGGTGGTTGGTTACCTTCACAATTGCAGGCTCCCAGACAAAGTTAGCAAAAGAGTCAGCAATTCCACCAGTGGCTATGTCCACCCCATATGGTGCCCCCTCACCTGTAACAAGCAAGCAAATAAGTCAGTCAGTATGCATGCAAGTAATTTTGCAATAGATATATGTAAGCATGCTTGTTGCATGCATACAAAAACATGGCCAACCAACCAGAAGGAAGTGCATGTTTCTGCCTTAGTTTATTCAGCACATCAGTTGCATCAAATCCAGCATTGTCACATAATTGTCTTGGTATAACCTGCAATAAAACCATAACTTTTTGCATCAAAATACAATCAAGTACCTATACTCTTTGAACAGAAGAACATGATCCCATACCCTTTATGTCTCATTTCTTACAGAAAGTGTGCATGGAAAATCAAATACTTAGTGAGGCAATTTCAAGACATCTATCGAGTAAAATATATGCTCAAGGAATTTTTTGCCCAACCCTTCCCCCATACAAATACAGTAATGAGGCATGTGATTGAATGAAACAGTTCCTGATCATCTTAAAAATGTATGAGAAACATCTTCAAGATTTTCCAAAATTGTCAGGCCTTGTGGAGCAACTACCAGACACTTTTTTGTTTTTTTATAATGCTTGATTTGAAAAGAGAAAAGCAAAGAAACATATTGCTCGTGTTTAGGTATCCTATTAGTTTGAACTTTGAACTTTAGACCACTAAGCTGAGAAGTTCTTCACGGAGAACAACTTTAGTGTCAAAAGAGAAATTAACATTTGTGTCAAACAGGTGTTGCCTCCTGTTACTAACATAGTTGAATGAATTAAAACATTAGAATATTAGCAAACATAAAAAGACCACAACTATGAATTGGCCTCAAATTCCAAAAGTTACCTCAAGAGCTTTTGCATAGGAGTTAATGAAAAGCTGGGATTTTCCGGCTATTGTACGGGCATGCTGCCTCAGGTACCGGCTTATCTCCATCTACCAACAAGTACCACATTTTAAGATCCAACACAATGACTAATATAATTCAGCAATATCTACCTACAAATTTTAGAGACATACATCTATGGCACCACCCCCAGCTACCACAGTTGAATTCTTCAAAGCCCTCCTAACAATCATGATTGCATCATGCAAACTTCGCTCTGCTTCCTCTATGAACTGTAAGAGAATAACAAACATCATACCTATAAGCTCAAAAATAGCAGATCTATTACATGAGTTCAACTACAAGTTTCATAAAGTACAATAACAGACCTGATCAGCTCCACCACGAAGAACTATGGTAGCTGTTTGGCCAGATGGACATCCATTAAATATATTGAACCTCTCATTTCCAACCTGCCTTTCCTCAAAAATCTCGCAAGTTCCAAGGATCTTCAAGGAAGCAAATCACCAGGAGTTCAGTTGCAATACTTAATATTACAAAACAAGCAAATCAATCACAAGTCACAAAAATAACATGCAACCTCATCAATTATGTTATTGACAGATGTTTGTACAGTTCCACCAGTTGCAGCAGCAACCCTTTTTAGATCTTCTTCAGCTACACGACCAGCACAGAAAATGTCTCGATCTGCAAAATACTGTTTCAAGAACAAGTTATTTAAAAATTATCATAAATATTCCTGAAAATTTTTAACATACAGTAAAAGGGGTAATATTTTATGAATAGTTGAAAGAAATCCAAGAACATGAAAGGGAAATAGATTCAATTTAAAAAAGATGAATAAAACCTGTGTAGCTAGATCGCCAATAGCCAATCGTGAAAGAACTACTTTGGCACCGCTGTTGACACATTTATCCAACTTGTCATAAATAATATTCCATTCTGCATCAACAATTGATTGATATTGCGCTGGATCTGACAATCTTTAGAGAAGAGAAAAATTCCAACAAAGTAAGCAATCCTTCAATAAGATCTCAGCATCAACAAACAAAACAAAGGAACAAAATTATTATTAAAAAAAACACCTTATCTCAGCATTTTCTTTCTCAGATTTTAGCTCCAACTCAACATTTAGTAATAGTATTTTTGGACTGAGAAACTTCTTGGGTTGCTGCTCAAACCCAGCATATGAAAATGTCTTTTTGAAGGCAACACCATTTACTAGAAATGAGTCTCGCATGGTACCACCAGGAACCTGTAATAGAAAACCTTAAGTCTTCCACCATTCATTTTCAAAATAAGTTTATAAATTACATGCACATAATCAAAATTAACCTCAAAAGCAAAAACCTACATTCGATCTCCATATGCACAACCACTTTGTTAGTTGATTGTTCTACTTTCTATGACACCTTTTGAGTTATCAAATACACACGCACATTTAAAATTCCAAAAACAATATTATAGAACATCAAAAACAAATACAACACATCTGCTTTAGAATATCTGAAGAGAAGTGAAAGCCCAAAGAATCTAATTACAATGCTATGAAAACTAGGCAGGCAGTATTGGGTGAGAAAACACTACATATCAAGGTTTATGATGCTGTTTAACTCTTGAACTCCAATCCAATCTGAAATATATGTCACTTTAGAGTATTGCACAAGAATTAAGGAAACTAATAACTATCCTAAATAAATAAAAAAAAAAAAAAAAGTGATTTTCGAGTTAAATTACCCTTTTCTCGAAAATATGTATTATAATAATTCATCTATAAAGAAAAGAAATGAACAAATTTTCAATTATCAAGACAATCACTATTGTTAACATGGGAGGAGAAAATTGAAAAGAAGTAAAAAAATGTTTTTTTTGGTGTTATAAAATGACAAATAATTTGGAACAAGTTTTTTTTTTTTTTGCTAAAGTGACAACCATAGAATAGAGATAGCAAAGAAGCACTTTAAAGGCCCAGAAAATTTACTAAACCTTAGGTTGACAGTAATGGAAAAACTTAGTAATAGCAATCACTTTGAAAATAGGTACATATTGCAAAATTATTTCTTGTCAAATAACACAAATAACTAAAAAGAAAAAAGAAAAAAATGCTCAGGAAAATGTGTTTTATAGTTCTCTGCATGATTTGTAAACATTAGAAAATTGGAACTAAAGGTACAAATACAATACAGGCCCTATGAAGCTATGTATGACTGAAGCTGGTGATTATATAGAGTGCCAACACATACACACACACACACACACACATATATATATATATGCAGACCACCAGCTTTTAACAAGATTTCAATCCAACTTCCTTATATATGCTCAAATGACTAGTTTCTGGAGGAACATAATTCCCTTATAAAATTTCAACCAGAATAATTTATCATTTGAAATAAAATGGCATCTACTGTTAAAAACACAATCGCCATTCCCCACTAAGAGAAATGAAGCCATCAAGTATTACTTGTACAAGTTTTTGGACTCTGGATCACTGAATATCAAATGATGAAGTATATTGTATAAATACCAGACATAAAATGGCAAATAAAAAAGACATTATTTTAAAAAGATTTGATAAACAAAAACTCCTTTGGTCATCTTAAACTTCAAACCTAGAAAAGTTGGCAAACAATCTCTTAACACTAACTACAATGACCAGATCGAAGAGCTTATCTTTTTTTCATTTATTTATTTATTATAGTTGTATCTTCATTTAAAGGCATCTTTGGCCCTTCATTTTTAGCATTTTATTGCTTGCCATTAAATTTTCCTCTACTTAGAAATACCACATTCCACAATCACCAATGCAAAAGAGAGAATGCAGCACACAGATACAAAATTGTAAAAAATCGATACATGTACCTTCTTTATTCCAATCATGTTCAACCTGTCCTCAGTCCCAATTGCAATTACAGCATCCACAACCATGGATGCAAAGAATTCTTTCTCTCCACCAATGAGCTTCGAAGAAAGTGTGGTAGCAGCACACTTTGCAAGCAAGCTTTTCTTCTCTTCAAGACTTTTCCCCTCTATGCTAACAGCAAGCTCTTTAATCTTCTCAATTGCCTGCTCAACGATTAAACGAGACAAATCAGGAACATACTTCCACCTACAGTATTCAACATTAATTAAGACCAAAAATAAAAATAGAGATAGGCATGTACCAAGGAGCTTGCGGTCCTATAGCTCCGAATTAAATTTTGAGAGTGAACACCGTCTTCAATGAAAGGCTTGGCCTCCCTTAAAAACTCCGCTGCAAGCAATACCACAGTGGTGGTTCCATCGCCAACCTTTTTTCACATTCACAACAACAATATCAGAATAACAACACAATAGTTTACCTACTCACTATCAAACAAGCTATTCCAATTCCGTAAATCAAGCATCTAAATTAAGCAAAAACGAAAAGATCTTAATAATGGAGATGTGCGAGATCGATGGGTACCTCGGAGTCCTGAGACTTGGCGATGTCGACGAGGATTTTGGCGGCGGGATGGACGATGTCGAGGAGCTTCATGATGGTGGCGCCGTCGTTGGAGATGGTGACGGTTCCCTTGTCGTCGTGGATGAGCTTGTCCATGCCGCGAGGGCCGAGGGTGGTGCGGACGACGTCGGCGACGGCGGTGCAGGCATTGATGTTGCTCACAAGCTGCGGCTTCCCCTGCGAAGTGTCTGTGCCTTCCTTGAGCAGAATGATCTGAGGTTGCTGTTTGATCCACCATTTCCAAACGGTAACAATGAGTTAGGTTAGGTTACGGAAACGGTAACAGAACAGAGAGTGAGAGAGTGAGAGAGTGAAAGAGAGTAAGAGAGAGATTACCAGCATCGCTGACATGGTTGAAGACGCAACAGAGAAAGAGAGGGAGAACTAGGGTTTAAGTTTTGAGCTTCGAAGAGAGTGTAGTGGGTCGAGAAGCAGCAGTTTCTGGCTCCTTCACTCTCGCACCGAAACGACTCTTTTTTCTCTTTGGTGTTACTATCTAATTTCGAACCGAAACTCTTTTTTTTCTTTCATGATTTGGGCCGAAAGCCCATGGCCCCCTTTATACCCAACCACTCATTCGTTGTCCATAATTGTGTTAGAAATACATTTTTTGTCTCAACATCTTTGAACTCGATTAGCAACCATATTTGACTCGAATTAAGCCCAGGTTTACTCAAAGTTAACAGTATTAACTTGAACATACAAAAGTCGTGAGCATTATGTAAATAGTGTTTGCATCTCACGGTTATATATCTTCACGAATTTATCCATTTTATATTAAGTAATTTCTTTATTAAAGTATAAAAGTAGTTCAACTGAATTTTTCGTCTTTTGAAAAAATCTTTATGTGCACAATAAAGAATAAAACATGTTCAAAAAAACATAATTATCTAATTGTTTTAGAAATCTATTACATAGATTACAAGTTCATCCCATAATAGACACGCAAACATTAAATGAAAATGTTAAACATCTTACGCTTGACTACTGAAGAAGCATTTTGCAACACCAATGTTCAGCTTCTTACGAAGTTAAAACAGCAAATGAAAATGGCAAAAAGACATTGTCTCTAGTCTCTACCATGCACATAAACTACATATACTACCCTAATAACTTTTATAATATTTAAATACCTATTTAGTAATTTCATAAATTTTATTTTTCAATTTCTACAATTAAAATTTTTTTAGTCTTTTATACATATTTTTTTCTTTTAATCTCTGTCATCTATTTATTATAAGAATAAAAGATAAATTTTATAATAATATAAAAATTAAAAAGAATTAAAAAAATAATATGATTAGGTGCTAAAATGAAATATTTTTCACTATAAGAATTAAAAATAAAGTTCATATATTTCAACCTTTATTCGTAGAAAACCCTCCCCTAAAACTTTCTTAATCCTTTTTATAAGATCTTTTCCAAATTATTTGTTGCATTAATTACTTTTATAAGAATAACCTTAAGTAGAAATACATTAATTAATTAGGTGGTGACTAAAAACAAGGCAATCTCAATAATTTTAATGATAATAATGAAAAAAAAGAGGAATTATATAGATTTTTACTACTTAAATTTTTCTACCGTTAACATTTTAAATTGACATGTTTATGAAAAAAAAAATTCAAAGACTAAAACTAAATAAAATTTGATTAGTCTAAAAACATAAATTAAAAAAATTAAGAACATTTTTTTTGGTACAAAAGTTAAAACATATTTAACCCCTGGAAAAGAATTATACAATAATTTGTTGACAAGTTTAAAACTAGTAACTAAATTCTTGGAAAATTGTTGAAAGAAAATCGAATACGTATGAGACAAGGGTTAGTAAATCATGAGAAAGAGACGGTCAAATTTAAATAATGGAATCCAATACATACACGAGAGACACTGGTAGCATATTATATTATATAGGGGAAAAGAATTACAATACAACACGGCAAATGTCTTGGTCGAGGAGAAAACGAGTGTCAACACCCATTTAATGGCTCGGCAGAACATGCAATGGAACGTGTACATGAAAGGCAGGGTCCAGAAGGGGACAAGGAACAGGTAGAGTACAACTCTACCTTCCTCTCTCCAAATAATACAAGATCTATAGACAGCAATGCAGAGCCAAACGTGGATGCCAACAATCTAATCTAATGCTTCCAAGATTCCCTATTCAAGTTTTTATTCTAGACTGACTCCACAATTAATGACTACAACCACGTCTCTGTCCCTGGTCTCAAGACGATATTTTGGTTACATCTTTGCTTGATCTGTTGTATTTCATGTGGCTGTTGACTAGCTGCCCTGCTGCAATGGCAGACATCAGAGACAGCTCTCCTGCTAAAACAGATCCAGCAACAATGGTGGCCAAGAGTCTTGAGTTCGATCCTGGTGACTCCTTGCTCGCACCCTTCACACCAAGCAAATTCAAGCAAGCAGACTGGGACGCAAGTTGAGTCCCACCCCCAACAGTACCCACCTGCGAGGAAAATGAATCATGTAAACCTTAGCTATTAAATTGGAAAATTGACCTCGTCTAAGAAAGGATGGGATGCCAAATCACCTCGATAGAAGGCATTGTCACTGAGATGTGAAGGTCCCTCCCGTCATTGACGGCTTCCATCATGGTTATGCAATGGGAACTCTCAACATTTTGAGCTGGGTCTTGACCGGTGGCTATAAAGATGGCAGAAACGATGTTACTAGCATGGGCATTATATCCACCAAGAGCACCAGCAAGGGCAGAACCAGCAAGGTTTTTGAGCATGTTAAGCTCCACCAGAGCAGCCACATTGGTCTTCAATACCTTCTTCACCACTTCTTCCTTGATAACTGCTTCACAAACAACTGATTTCCCACGTCCCTCGATCCAATTTACTGCAGCCGGTTTCTTGTCCGCACAATAGTTTCCTAAAGGATCAAATCAGTACATAACCATGAAAACAATTTCAGCATGCCCTGATTATAGGAATCAAATCAAATAACAAAACAACAAGAATAATAGAGTGACACGCTCAAGATATAAAAGCAAGTTAACTGAAGGACTGAGAATCAAAAACAGATTTGACACGATGAGAAGTATACACTAGTACACAGTAGAAATCTGATCAAATGAGAAATATAGATAAATTGGTGACGAGTATGAGAGTTTGCCACAGTCCCAATTTTTCTCAGCAGGTTCGTAGTGCATAAATCATAATTAAGGAGCAAATGAATAAAATATGACTATACTACATATCACTACATTAACCCTTTTTCAAAGAGCAGATATACGACAAACAAACCAAGCTCCAATAAGAATCAGCTTGACAATACCACTTTTATCATGAACCTCTACAGTAACACCATTATAAGACACAAGTCACCTGTTCAAATCAAACAACAGTATACCACTATAATACAAAATATAGTACATATAGATAGGCTGCGTCAAAGATGATAGGGAAGGAAATAAGATAATGTAATTGGACCACTTTCATGATGAAAGCAACAAGTACGTAAAAGAAATAAACAAATAAGCAATATGTAATCGCATATTATTAGCATATAATATAACAAAGTAAATGGTATTGCTGACATCATTCCAGCAAATCCATTTAACAAAATGGGAAAGGGAACACAGAAATTACCAGAGATGCCAATAACATCCATGTCAGGAAAATCATTTTGAAGAAAATCAAGAACATTCTGCACCCCTTTGGAAACCATGTTCATCCCCATGGCATCACCTGTGCTACAAGTGAATCTCAAATAAGCGTTCTTCCCGGCCATAGCACAATGAATACCTTGCAGCCTAGCAAATCTACTCGACCTGAAACCATTAAACCAAACTCCAAAACTCAACATAAACAAATAAATGAAAAATCTCCCACTAACAACATCCAAATTCCAGCCTTCTATACTCCATAACATAAAATATTAATCCCTAAACTACAGAAAATTCACTCAATCTGTGCCTGAGTAAGCGTTTGCCAAATTGATTTTGAAGCAAAGTGATTTACGTTAAAATGTTTTTATTTTAAAAACTAATTAGTAGTAAATCTCATAATAGATATTTTATCCAAGAAAATAACTTCTCAAGATTGCTTTAACTCAATATTGATTTTGGCCTCGATCAATCCTTCAACATGCAACAAACATATGAACATTTACCTAAAATCACATCAGCTAATATTTGATTTCAGATAAATGTTGACAAAAATGATTTTAATTAAAGCTTATTTTGGAGTGACGCTATTTATGTTTGGAAGTTAGTGACAAAATTTATAGCGTGATTGAACATGCTTAACCCACATTTATAACATGGTTTTCCACGTCCAATTCCAATCACTACAAGTTGTAGCTTTTGCATCCTAACGTAAATTTTTGGGTTTTGATCACACTTCCAAACAGAAGCGTATATTAAAAAAAATTGCCATTGCAAAATCTTCCTAAAATTGTTTCACCGTTGAATCAATTCTCAACATGGATAAACAATTTGGTTCAGTGTTCTCTTGAGTGAACATGGATCAACTTGAAGCAAAAGATACTTGCTTCTGCGTCATTTGAGGTATTCTGGACGTCTATTTGTCAGAAAACATGGAGCCTAAACTCAGAAGTCAGATCCAAAGATGCACCAAGTGTGTTTGGTTTCATGTTGGATTCTCGTCACGTTAAAAACTAGTTAACATGATTCTCGATAGATTTTCACATGTATGGTTCCACGTCTAGAAATTGATTCTTTGTTGAAGTAACTTTAGATAGCTTTTGCCATGGATACAAAATTCGTACCGAGTTTTACTATTAAGGCTCAATTTGGTTCCACGTCGGTTTGAGTTAGATGTGGATGAATCAGAAGCAACAAACACATGCTTCTCCATCACTTTGGTGTGAAAAAATGAGGAAACGTGGCTCATAGATGGACTACCAAACACGCAATAACATGTTTTTATGATAAAAACATCCAAACATAAATCACATCACTTGAAGATCAAATTAATCAAAGTTCACCCAAATTGGGCTAAAATTCTGAAGAAGCCAACATGAATCGAAACAGTAAATTAGGATATTGACATGCACTACTAAGAAAGGGTTGAAAAGGCAAACCTGTTGAAAACAAGAGCGAGGGTGTCAAAATTGAGAGGATCCTCAAGGAAGAACTTCAACTGAGAAGCCCTTTTGGCAGATGAAAACCTAACAACCGGCGCTCTGGACATGGCATCCCTCAGAACGACACTGCTGGCCCCACCGCTCGCATAAATAGCCTTACAGCCGCGGTTGGTGCTGGCCACAAGACACCCCTCCGTGGTGGCCATGGGCACCGTGTACTCAAACCCGTCCAGAAGCAACGGCCCCGCCACCCCCACCGGAACCTGCACGTACCCCACCGGCATTTCGCAGCACTGCCCGAGAATCGCCTCGTAGTCGAACCCCTCAAGCGGCAGCCCCTCCAGCGACCGCCCCGCCGTCCGCTGCAGCGCCGCCCGCCGCACCGCCGCGGCCCGGCGGCAGTCCCCGAGGCGCGACTCGAGCGAATAGGAAGGCGTGGAGCCGTCAACGACGGATGCCACAATGTCGTCGTCGTCATCCTGGGAGGAAATGGAGGGTTCGGGGAGGGCTGGTTTGGGGAGGGAGGGGTTCGAAACGGCGTCGTCGAGGTCCCAGGCCTCGGTAGAAGCACGCGTTATGAAGGACTGGACAAAGTCGATGCCGAAAAAACCGAGAAGGTAAATGAAGGATGCGATGAGGGAAAAGATGGCGGCGATCTCGGAGAGGGTGACGACGTGGAGGGGGGTGGAGGAGCGGATCTTGTCGCGCCAGCGGTGGAGGAGGAAGTAAGCGACGGAGAAGAAGAGCGTGAAGAAGATGGCGTTGGTGAGGTAGAGGGGGAGGGGGAGGGCGTCGGAGGCCTTGGGGGCGGAGGCGGAGGGTGAGTCCCTCTTGTTGGGGGAGGGCGGAGGAGGGCGGCGACGGAGGTCCATTGTGTGAGCGAGGGAGTCGGGGAATGAGTGGAGGGATGAATGGGTTTTTACTATTTAGTGAGGTGTTTGTGTTTGCCACCCAAAATGCTGTATGCTGCGATGCAACCCGGCCTAGCCCCTCCCCATTTCCTCTTTCTTTTTTTACTTTCACTTCAACTGCATTTCCTATTTATTAAATAACTTTTTACGATTAAAATATAAAATTGTTTAATAAGGTTTATATTAAGTGGGACTTTTTTTTATTAATAATATAGAAGTATAGGTATATATATATAAATATAAATGTTTATTTTTTTTTAATTTAAATGTAAATAAATTTTTAACTGATTTAGTTTTTTTTTAATTCTTACTTTAAATTAATTTTATTATATATGTCTTAATTAACATTCAACATATAATTATAAATATATATTCATTTGAATTTATGAAATAAAATATAAATATTTTTCTATATTTTACACTATAAATTTATCTTGATTAATAATAAAATTTAATAATTATATCAATAATAGAGTAAGTTTATCGACAATTATTAATTTATTAATTTATTATTATCTATTAAATATTAATAATTAATATTTAGTATGTGTATTTATTAAAAAATTAAAATTTCTAATGAATATATAAATATTAATATCTTTAAAATATAAATTATATTTTAAATTTATAATAAATAATTTATATTATAATAAAAAATTATTTTTATTTATTAATAAATTTATTTTAAAATATTAATATTTAATTCATAAATTATATAATTAAGATAAATAAAAATTAAATTAAATAAAAAATTAAAAAGAATCTTTTATAAACTCTCTCATAATAAAAAATATCCTCACGTAATTCATGTAAGAGTTGATAACATATTTAACATTCAAAACTATTGACTTATTTGTAGGTAATGTATAAAATAAAACCCACTCACATTTCAAGTCATGCCAAACTTTTAAATAAATTAGGTGAGACCTTAAAAATGTTTATAAAAGATAAACAAATCAAATTATTCTTAGTAATTTTGTTAAAAATTAAGTTTAAATTTATCAAAATTTGGCCTAATTTATTTTCTAACCCATCAATGAGATGGGATTCTTTAAGCAAAGTTCCGTATTAGATTTTATAATTAAAAAAATATAATTGAAAAGATAGATTTTATTAAAAATAACTAATCAATGATTAAAATTTTTAATAAAAATTAATCATTAATAAAAGTAATAAATATTACATTTTAATGACATTATAGTCTTGAAAATTAGGTATTAGTTAAATAATTAAAAGTGACTTTTTCATATAAAAAAATAATATATATATATATATATATGAATGTTAAGCAATGTATATATTTGATACAAAAATTATATTATCTAATCATTTAATATGAATTAATTGTGAGGATTAATTTTTTTTATATATTAATGATGTATTATAATTATACCATTTAATTATTCTAAAGAATATAAAAGGGGGTTTTCAACCAAAAAAAATAAATAAAATAATAAAAACTAATTATTTTAAAATTAGAAGAATTTTTTAGTATAATGATATAAATTTCATACAAATAAAAATAAATTATTTAAAGTATTTATATTATGATTTATTTTAATCTTATTTATTTAAATAATATGTAACCAAATATATTTTAATTTATTTTATATTGTAATCGTATATTTAATAAATAAATAAAAAAACTGTTTTTTTATTTATACTTTTGTAGTAATATATAAGAAATTTAACAAAGATGAATTTAAATAGTATATTTTAATTGAAGAAAATTTTAAAATAAACAAATTAACTAAAACTTTATATTTGTGTAGATTGTGTTATAATTAAATATAAATAATAATTATATTTATATTTAATTTTATATTTCATTGGTTTTGTATTTATATATTATTTGATATTATAAACGTATAAATTAATTATAAAAGTGAATAATATTTAAAGTAAATTATATGTAACAGATATTTAAATTTATTTATATTTAAAATATATATTTTTTATATTGTAAAAATTAAGTATATAAAAGTTTGTTTTAAATGAAATAATTTTTGTAAAGTACAATATTATATTACCTTTATATTTAGTTGAAGAATAATATTTTTTAAAAATTATGTTAGAAATAAATATATAAATTAAACATATTTATATTTAGTTAATAATTTTTATAATTTAAAAAAAATATTTAAATTTTTTTAAGTATTTTAAAATAAATATACATGTATTTTATATAAATTTTTTTGAAATATAATTGTTTTTGGACACAAAATGCCTAGGGTTAGCATTACGTCTACCCAAGAGCATTTTGTTTATAATATTACTTACGTGACAAAAATAATTTATTTTGATAATTAATTTTTATTTTGTTTATAACATTTTTTATATGATAAAAATACTTTATTTTGATAATTAATTTTTAAATAATTTGTTTTATTTATTTAGGCTGCAAAGTCCTAGAAAGAGGAGAAACACCGTCCATAGACCCATACCGCGTGGAAGAGGAAGTCACGGAATAAGGTCACAATCACAAACACACCAACATGGACCTTACCAATACCATGTTCTACCCAAGTTCAATGAATTCTTATTACTTTACACAAGATCAAAAGGAAAATAAAATACGAATAGAAAGATGGTATAGTGAATAATTATAAAGAGAGAAAATTAAATAAAATATTAAAAGATAAAGAGTGATTTACGTATAGTTTATAAAGATAAAATAATTCAAGATATATATATATAAAATAATTTCCTTTATTATTAATATAGATTACGTTATTAATGAAAAATAAGGGATTTTCATTTTCATTTAATTTAATTTAATGATTTCTTTGTGTAGATTTAATTTAATGATATGTATTATCACAAAATAAAACTTTTAAAAAATTTGAACCGATAATTCTAATTCAATTGGTTAAATTGTGAGTTGTTATATAATTCTTATAATCGAGTTTGATTTTAATAAATAAATAGAAAAATGGGCCTCAAACTCGAAATCATAAACAATATGTATTGGTTGATCAACATGCTTAATAGTATTTTAACACGAATAAATGTGAAAATAAAAAATTTAAGAAAAATTATTGTATTATTAATAAAAACATGAACTTGTATTTTTTATGAATAAAACATAATTTAGTATAAATACATGCATTTGTTAACTAAAAAAATATGCATTTATTGATCTTTTAACATTAAAATTAAAAGTTAAATAATAATTTAGTTATGATATCTGAAAATATTTTATTACACTTAATATTATTAAAATTATTAGAATTAGTCTATTAGTTGAGAGAAGGAGTTATAGTAGAAACGGGAAAATCAAATCATCTTTCTTATGGATTAAAAAATATATTTTTACTAATTAACTGATTAAAGATAAATTAATATTAATTTAATAAAAATTTAAATGCACATTTAATTCTCAAATAGTGTACTTATACGATTTTAATAATCCTTTAAGTTTCAATTTAGCGAGTTTCTAATTATCTTAATTATGTAATTTTAATATTTTTATTTATTAAATTTTATTCAAAAATAATATATTTGAGTTGAAATAATGTTAGTGTAATAGATGATGTAGATGATTATGTCATGGCGACGTTACATAGCTAAGTGACATGTGAAAATATAATAAAAAATAAATTATTAAAATTGAGATTTAAACTCCTAATTAAGGTATAAATAAGTTAGGTTCAGTTAAATTTTGTTAAATTTTAGTCTAATATTATTTGAAAATATATGGTTTGGACATAGTTTATTAACTTTTCATGAACCAAAGGTTTGATTTGTCTTACATAAAAGTTTGATCAACTTATTTAAAGACTTATTTTTTAATAATTTAACACAATAATATAATTAAAAATAGATGTTATATTTTATAAAAAATCAAATTTAACTTGTTTATATGAAATAAATATATTTCTAAAGTTTAATAAAACGTTTATGATAAGAACTTATTTAAAAATATTTTTTTTAATAAGATCTCCAAATAAGATATAAATTTATCTTTGAATAAATTTATAAGTTTCAAGATGTTAGACTCTATGTCTATATAGTTTAAAATATTTAATTTTAGTTCTTATATATATATATATAATTTTAATATATTATGTAAATTTAATAAAATAATAAATATTTATTTAATTCAAATAGGCCATCCTTATATGATTAACAGGTTCTTTAAATAATATATATCATGGCAATCTTTTAACAAAATAGACTTAACGCAAGTCTTAATCTGACTTATTTTTTATAAAAAATAAAATAAAAATAAACTTAGATTTAATACAAGTTTTGTTATTGGTATTTTATTATTTTTATCTTTACGCCTTATCTTTTAACTAAGAATAATAAGTCATTAAGTCAACAAGTTTCTTAAATAAACATTTGAAATTCATCGATTTATCAAAAATATACACTAAATACTTGTTCCTGTCATTAATTTATCAAAATATATATTTATTATCTATTTTTACCGTAAAATTCGTTATTATCATTAGGGTTATCGCATTTGAGGTATTTCCTGTTTTAACGTTCGTTAAACCGTCACGATTTTGTGATTGAAAAGGTGTCTAGTGGGTTAACGAGGGAAGGTGCTTATCAACTACACTTAGTCTTAATTCCTAAATGATATAAGACTTTTAGGTATATCGAAACAAGTCCCGAATCGAGGTTAAGAATAAGGAGTGGTTTAAGCCCTCCTTTTAGTATCAATGTTTCGACTATAAATCTGCTCACATCGTTAGGATCATCGTGTTTAAGGTATTTTCTGTTTTGGTGTTTGTCGGTCCATCACAGATTTATCCTTGGAAAAACACTTCTTCGTTGTCACATCATAGGATTTCCATTGTCTATAGGATTTCCTGCATCGTAGGACCATCATCGGTAAGTCATGTGCCATACACTTTGTTGGTAAAACTATCTCTCACACCTTGGTTGTCAATCGTGAACGGTGATTTACGATGGTAAGACCACCAAGGAGTAATGCAGGTCTATTGCGGACAAATGTGGTGGTGCTAGCACTAGTGACAATCATCGGTAAGTCATGTGCCATACACTTTGTTGGTAAAATTGTCACTCACACCTTGGTTGTTGATTGTGAATGGTGATTTACGATGGTAAGGCCACCAAAGAGTAATGCAAGTCTAAAGTAGACAACTATGGTGGTGCTAGCACTAGTGAAGTGGATGGCATACGACTTACTAGTGATGGTCTATGTTACAGGAAATCATAGAGACTGTGAAAACCTTATGGTGTGATGATGAAAAAACATCTTTCCAATGATAAACTCGTAATAGCCTAAAGAAAGTCAAAATCGACAATACTTCGAACGCGATGACTTTAGCAATGCTAACCGCATGACTCGGTTTTTATTTATTTTTATTAAAAAAATATTCATATTAAATATATTTTATACTTATAAATTTTAATAAATTTATATCTTATTTTAAATTTCAATTTTTCTATCTTATTTAAAATTATTTTTATTTTTATTTTGTAAAAAATATATAAAAAATTACATGTTAAACTGTATATTAATACAAATTAAAAATATAAATAATATGTACATATATAATATGCTTGCAATTGATATCACAAAATAATATATGTAATATCTACATATATATTATATTATTAAATATATAATATAAAATTAATAATATACTATAAAAGTTATTTAAGTTGTATATTATATAAACAAATACATTAGAACAAGTAGTCATTGTTATATTTAATAAGAATCTTTGTTCTTCCATTAAAAGATTAAATTTTCATTATTATTTTTGTGGTTTATGGTCCCTTAAAAAAAATTTAAAAGAAAAAAAAAAGTGGTTGAACCAGTTTGACCCACCGGTTCACCGGTTGAACCGAAAAATTGACCGGTTCAATCCGGTTTAAAACGAGTCGACTGCATAACCGATCCAACTTAAGGTTCGGACCGGCTGGACCACCGGTTCCCGGTCCAACCGGATGGTTCGGTCCGGTTTTTTAAACACTAATGCTAACAACTTACAATTGGAACACTACCACTAAATAAACAAAAATAAAACATTAATAATATTATTGATAAATTAATATTAATAATATTATTAGTATATTTTTAGATGAACTTGTAATTTAATAAATACAAATTAGTACATATTAACTAAAGTTATCAAAACGGGTCACAACTTGTGAGCTAACCTTGTGAATGTAGTTTTGTTAATATGTAAATTTGGTTCCACAATTTTTTTTATTATATAAATTTAGTCTTTCTAGTTCTTAAAATTAAATAATATTATTCTACTATTAACATGTCAAATAGAAAATGTTGACATCGCTAAGTAATACCACAAGCAATTAGTAGAAAAAAGTTATTAGAAAATTTAAAATTAATTTATTTTAATAGATTATAAATTTTTATTGAAATAAAAAACTAATATATATATATATATATAGTAAAAACAATGTTCTTCTTTATATAGAAGCCAACAACTAAGTAATTGTCTTGTGTGTAACTCACAAACTTTGCGGAACATGTTAATGATAAATTAACATTGCTTAATTTTGAAAATTAAGAAAGTCAAATTTGTAAATAAATTTTTGAAAGAACAAAATTACACATTTGTGAAACTATAAAAATTAATAGTAAATTCAAGGCTAAAAAACTTGGAAAGATAGAAATACTACAACGATAATAACAACAATAATAATAATTTAAAATTAAATAATTAATTTAAAATTAAATAATTAATTTAAAATTAAATAATTAATTTAAAATTAAATAATTAATTTAAAATTTTGATTTACACTACATATAATTTCTTTACTATTTTTTGTTCTTAAACATGGTTTATGCAATAACTCAAAGTTAAACAATTAAAGACTAATTTATATTTGCAGAGTGTAACTTTTGCTCATAAAATTTACACATTAGAGCAAGATACTATGTTTCTTTGGCTGATTTATACAAGAGTACACCTTTTCTATTTCTATTTGACCTTATTGCAATGCTACCAAACAATTGAAATTTCAAATTTCTACACTATTTCTTTACTTTCACTACTCTCTCCTCACCATTTTATGTAGATCAAGACACTTGATTTTGCACTTTTACATATGTTGATCCAACATATTATTAGGTTTAAAGAAAATCTTAATGTAAGATTTTTTAAAATTAATAATAATATATTTTGATAAAAGAATAAAAATATTTTAAGTCATCAAATCTTGAAAAAAAAATTATATTTACATATCTTTTAAAGAAAATTTTTAATACAGAAAGTGACTTTTAAATTATAAAAATTTGAAAAAAATATATAAATATTAATATAACTTTTTTTAGAGGGACTAAAGGGAGAACCTTATGCACGGCCTTACTTTTACAATTTAGAGGTCTCCTCATTGATTTTAGGAAAAAACCCAAATATATGGTTGCAGTTGTTTGGGTATATGGAAAAAAGGAATTCATGTGTTTTCACAGCACAGGAAAGAACATTGGTTGATATGTGGAGATGATCTAAATATTGTCCTAACAATGGTTATCAGATAATAAAGGCAACATTATTCTACTGGTTTAATGAACCAAGGTTATGTCTCTTAACATCCTAATAAACCAAGCTGCACTTAGTTCCAATGTTATCAAAAGCATGTGTTTTCACTGCTCACATGCAATTTAAGAAGTTCCTTAGGGAATTTTTTATTTAAAAGATAGTAATTAACAATAATGATTATAACAATAATAATGATGATAAAAATAACAATAATAATATGTAGTCATAAAAGATATTTACAATTGAATTTTTGATTTTAATTATTAATTATTTATATTTATAATTTAAAAATTATTTAATTTTATCTCTCGTAATAAGAGATAATTACTCTATATATCAAAATCACAATACCTTAATTTATGACTTTGTCATTTAAAATTAAAAAGGTGAGAAGCATTCTTTACTTTAACTTAATCACTAACAAAGTTAATTATATATATAAACATCACAATACCTTTAATATGGTTTTTTAGTTTGCGTGGGATACGAATTAATTTTAGGATTGTTCAATTTTTTCTTGCTGTGATTAATTTATAAATTTAGAAGTGCCATTACAGTAAAGTATTTTCCGACTTATATAAGGACCTGAGTTGTTGTTATAATGCAATCCCCTTTCAATCATAAATAAATAAATAAATAAAACCGATCTAAAAAAAAGTCCTTAATTAAGGTAAGGGTCCAAAACCAAAAAAATAAATAAAAATCATAGGCATTGACAGCATGACTTGCATGGAAATCAGCCAATTTATTGGGCTCTCAAAACTCATGATAGGTTGCAAAAAATTCAGATAACCTTAGCAATAAACATGAATGAATTTCCTACTTCCTAAAGAAATTATTAGGTAGTTCTAAGTCACATAAATCCTAATTATTTTTTTCATAACATATACAAAGTGTAAATAATTTTTTTAAAAAAACTTGACCAACTTAAATACATATTATGTAATGGTTAATTATCTAATAATTTCTCTTGCTTCTGGTGATCTATTGTTTCAGGCTAGCTCTAAGGAATTATAACAGTATTCTAGTCCTTTGCATTCTATGGCCAAATCTTCTTGGAATTCACATGTAAAGAGGAGGGGAAAATGGCTTTGCACAATCTCCTAAGTTAAAACTTTGTCGTGTTTATTGTAAGAATTTGTATAAGATCTTAAATTAAAACTGTTGTGTTCATTGTAACTAGAAAAAAAAAATGACAGCTAAAATCATACATGCTCTAATAATTAAGTATAATCAATACATAGAACTTTCATTTATTTATTTTATCTCCGCATAAACAGGCCAAATTATTTTCTATATTGTAAGCTTTATCAAAATGTAGTTCACTTTTAGTTTCTTCTGTTTAGCCAGACAATTTTTTTTGCTTAGCCAGTAATTTTTATCTTAGAATAGTGAATTTGAACCTAACTCAATCTTATAAAATCGGCTTGTAAGGTAAAAGTTACTTTTCACTTATATACAAAATAATTACCTAATCTCTAATTGATGTGAGACTTGTATTTTTCTCAATACTATTGTCAATCTTTTATGCAAGGCATAATCTTTGATGTGAATATAGAGTGAAACTTGGACCTTTGACTCACATTCAAACACATGCAGATTCATTAATGATAAACGAAATTAACCATTCAAAAAGGCCTCGATTTGTTGCTTTCATTATGAGTCAATCCATGGTTATCAATTAAAGTTATATAATATGATCTTATCTATAGTTTTAAATTATATTTTACACATACACTGCTGAATGCCAACCTTAAGTAGTTAAGTTCAATTTCTTTGATTTGTTCTAGCCATTTTGTCCATTTTAACTGATGTTTATATATGCTCACTATCTACTTAATTAGCTCTGATTACTTAATCATATTTAATATAACTTTAATTTATGTTTCTTACTATGCATCAATGATAAGAGGCTTATCCATATATATAACAAGTATATATGAAGAAATAAATCACAAAACATTCTTTATCCACAATCCTAGATAACATGGGAGTAAAATAGTAATTATTGTAGATAAAAATGAATGGCAGAGTTTGTAGCTTTATTAGGAAGAGTCATCTCAAAAAAATCAAGATAGTAAATCTTAAGACACAGAACTATGCCTCTTCAAAATTTTCAGAAGTCTGACTCGTATCCTGTACAAAGTGTCCACACAAGCAACATATTGTCAATTACACAATTACTGTAAACGACTTATCTGAATACAAAAAACAAAGGATAAATAACTCAGTTTAATTAAGAACTGAATTGAACAAAAATCAGAGAGTAGAGGCAAGAAAACATGAGTTCACATACAACAACACAAAATTCAGCTGACCAATTTTTTCCTGCGTGGTACAGTTGTTTATTCTAGTATAAATGTGAAAATATAATGTATTTTATCGATTTTATTAATACACATTTATACATCCTATGGAGTTAAAATTATGTGAATTCTAATTGGAGAATAACATTAATTACATATAAAAAAAATTATACTTAAAACCCACTATAATATTGTACTTATCATAGGTTTTTACAATCAAACCAAACACAATATAAATTAACGTTGATAATATCAAAGATCAAGGCTGCAATTGATCTAATTTTTTAATGAATAAGGTGAAATCATGGTTCATTTGTTGCTATGTATATACGAATTCAGATTCGAAATCATAAGGTTCCCTTGATCATGGCCCAAATAGATGAAGCAATATATTAATGAAAAATAATCAGATGAAAGACATCTCTACGGTGCATCCTGAAGTCACAAAACCTTAGAAAACTAAATACAGAACAGTGCATATAATTTAGATCTACATGCCACGTTATGACAAATTGACAATATGACCAATTCAGCTACTATATTACGTACGATAAATCTAGTGACAAAACATAGGACAAATCGAAGCACTTACGCATTCTTTTTTCTGAGCTTGTACACCTTTCTTCATATTTCTCCCCATCTTTCTTCCAGAACTTTTATTTATTTTCTTATTTGGAAAAACTACTTGGAGCGACTCATTCAAGTCTAATAGAACCTTTCCACATAAAGTACAAACGCTGTAAATAGAAAAATGAAAATTTGAAATTTGAATATAGGTAGGACCAATGAATGGCATGAAAAGTCTAGAATCTAATTAACAATGAATTCCCATTATTTTCCCCATTGTCTCAACTCTTTTGGATATTCTAAGAAACCTATTTGGATTGTTTATATTTAAGAAAAGAAAAGAGAAGATAGTTTACCAGCAAGAATCGACGGAAATGTCATCATAGATGGTTTCGAATCTGGTAGGGCAAAGCCTGCAACAATGACTGCACCAATACTCCATCACAACAATTGCGTTCAGTTTCAAAGTGCCATTAATAAGCAGTTTCAAAGTGCCATAAATAAGGTATATAAACATCTAAACCTTTGACTAAGCATATATAGATTTCATAATATACCATTGCACTTGTAACATGTTTGTTTATTAGGGTGTCATCTCTTGATCATAGCTTATTTCTTAAAAACGTCTATTTAGGCACTTTTTTGAAACAAAAGGATCCCTTAACTAACAGTGAATGACTAATTCAATAATCTTCCGAGATACTAAAATTCATTTTAGGGTTTAGCTTCTTCCAACAAATGTTTTACAATATTTTAAAATTATAATCATTATTTAAATAGTTTTTTTAAAACATTTATTTGTATAATAATTATTTATTTTTACTATTTTAATTAATAATATACTTTAAATTTATATGTCAAAATTATTATAACTATATGTAAGATAAAATGCATAATACAAATTTTATAATATATATTGCTACATATATTATATAAAAAAATTAATATATATTTTCTATTATATATAATGCATAACATATTAAATTATATAGATACTATAATATAATATACAACATAGTATATATATGGAAAATGGGAAAGGTGAAGATTGAAGTTATCCTATCCTCTCTTCCTCCATGATATTCAGTTTCTTGTGATATCATGTTATAATGAATTGTTTTTGCGTGAATAATAAATGATAGTCTTATTCGTCTCTTATCTTATTTGGTTGATAAATTATATATTTTTTTATTTGTTTTATGATATAAGAAAAAAATATGATATGATAAGAACACACTAAACCTTAATTGTATTTAATATTTGGTACATATTATTTAATAAACTAGATAATATTATATTATATTTCTTGTATTTGACATAAACTAATAAAAAATTATATAAATTATATTTAAATAACAAAATTACCTATTCTTTAAAATCTCATATAATTTTTTAAAAACATTAGCTTCAATTTAATTGTTTAAATTTTACAAATTTAAAATATATAATTTTAATTGTATTATACAAATGAAAAGTAAATATATTTTACACTAAGTAGGATAACTAAACGTTTAAGTAGTATAATATAATTTTAACTTAACGTTGAAGTCAAATTGCTTGCTCCAATAACATTGTTTAAGGCATTAAACACTCATAAAGGAAATTTTGTCAACATGACCAAGTAGGATTACCTTTTTTTGAAAGTGCAAGTAGGATTGCTTAATATAAAAGATATATGTTATTTCTATGAAAAAGGAAAAAAACGTTGTTCTGCTCGACAAATGTAACAATAGTATTTAAGAGTTAGTGTGAAATTAACTTACTCAAAAATAATTTGAAATTTAATTTAATAATTTATTAGTTGAATTTTGTTTATAAACTAAATAAGTTAAACTTAAATTAAAACTTAACTTTGATAAATAAATAAATAAAATTTGAATTGCGTATAATTTAATTAGTTATTTAGTTCATAAATTAATTTCACATATATATATATATAATATTTATAATTAATTTTTTATTTAATTTCAACTTATTGAAATTTGAAAGAACACTCAAAATCTAGTTATAAGCAAATAATCATTAGAAAAATTGTAGACACTAGACTGTCATGGTTATGGATTGAGTTTTTTTTTTTTAATTTATTATTTTATGCAAGATGAAATAGTTTTTACTTATATAGAATTTGTTTGTAATTATGTTTCTTTAAAGTTATATCTTCTAACTTTGCAAAACTAATAAAATATATTATGTTTTATTTTTCCAAAAAATTAAACGATCATTTTATGTAAAATTTATTAATAAATTCAGATTTTAAAATGTATAATAAGATTAAAAAATTTGAATCTTGATTCATGTAATTTAAATTAACAAATTGGATCAAATTATTAGTAAACTTGAATTGAGCGTATAATTTGATTAAAAAAAAAGATACATATTAAATTTAAGTGAAACTCCAAACTAAGCCAAATATTAAATTGATCAAACTCAATTCAATTTCACTCATTTCCAATTCTAATAATATTAAAAGGATGCTATTATGTAAGTGACTTAATACATAATTATATTTTTTTAACAAGCAGGGTTTTTTTAGTTTTATTTTAAAGGGACATTTTTATGTCGGCATCCTCACAAGTCATCTTGGGAAGCAAAGAAAAGTACCCTTCTCTTCAAACTTGATTTAATACTTTCCCCTATATATTTCTTTTCCTTTTTCTTTTTCCATTTCAGGGAATAGACTAAATTAGAAAATGAGTCAAATAAAGTTAAATTTAAAAGTAGTAATAGTGTCTATAATTTATGAAGTCAAATTATAAAGTGTCTGGCAATGCTTTTGAAAAGGAATACATCAATGTATAAGGACCATAAGTGCACATGTCACAGTCTAATTGTCCAAAACTAGTGGGAGACAAAAAGCCATGAACCCATCACTTTGACAAATAGAATGAGCAACAAAGTTTTGTATGGTAGTGCAAATGTTATTCACATGCCTTACATATCTGAAATTAAGATCATCCTAACTCCTAATTCAATAATTTGCTTCTTGATGCTTGTTCTAATAATCCTTTAACACGTGTCCTCCACATTTATATTTCCCAGTTTTTAGTTGTATGTTAAAATGAAATATCGCATGAATTAATCACCAAGGACACTTAACATAAGTCATCAAGGACAACATTATTTCTCAATTTAACAAACAAAATATCAAATAGAAGAACACAGTGTGTCAAAACTTGGATCAAAACAAACAATACAAATGAAAGACTACTTTGTACAGACAAACTTTTCACCATAACAGAAGATGGTTTACGAAATGGATGTTCTCACACATGCATTCTTGTATATTTATATTGATAGGAGATATCAATTGCAACTCTAAATCCTAAATGTAAATTTGTTAAAGAAATATATCAATTGGAATGTATATTTACATGAACAACTGCATTAACTGAGATGAGAGCAACAATAATAGTAATAAAAAATGTCAGCTTAAGTTGACAAAATTAATTGCAACTCTTCTATCAGTTTTTTTCAAGAGCAATCACCTCAATCAAAATAATGTCAAACAAGATATTCAATCTACAGCACACTAAGCAACACTGAACTACGATTCTTCAACAATTATCAGAAACTTGAATGGTATCAGAATTTGTGAGATGCTTTACTTCCTTGATCAGAGGGGTAAGGACCCTTAGAAGCTGCACCCTGCAATAAGGATTGCATAATTTAGATAATTTTGAAGGTGCACTTTAAGGTTACAAAAAATGTATGAAACTAAACACACACAAAAAGCATAATTTAGATTTATATTTACATAGCAAGTTATTTGCAATATCTTAATTGACCAAAAAGGAACAAAAATTAAGGGAAAAACAGAACACTTACACAATATTTTTTCTCAACTTTTGCATTATTCATTCTTCTTTTCTTTATTCCTCTAGATTTCCTATTTACCCCTTTGTTTGGAAATATGACCTGGAGTGGGGTACTCAAGTCTAATAAAATCTTCCCACACATGGAGCAGCAGCTGCAAATAGAACATTATAAATCAATAGGAAGAATTAATTAATGGCGTGAAAATATAATATTTTTCCCAGAAAATAAGAGAGAAGAAAATATGAGTAACACTAGTATTACTATTATACCTGCAATATTTGCCTGAAAAGTCATGGATGAAGGTTTCCACTCTGGTTTGACAGAACCTGCAACAATGATCGCACCACTCCATGACAACTTTTTTAAACAATTCAAAAGGGCTATATATATGTTGTGCTGTTTCTTGGGAACCAAGTATTGCACTTTGACGAGGTATCTACACCTTTATATATTATTTAAAGGAGAAACTCAATCTTTTGTAGATTTTTTTTTTTTTTAATTTGATTATGCGTATCTTTTTTACAATCTTGATTATAATATATTTTCTACAGATTCAATCTCTTAATATATTTAGAGTGAATTTTTTTGTCAATTAATTGTGGTTCTTTTCTTCCGA